AACTTAATATACTTGCTTATATGGATTGTTCAAAATGATCCATAATCAACTCATAAAGGAGTCAAAACTTGAACAAAAACCAAAACTGGGCCAAGAGGTGTGGAACGCGGACCGCGACAAAAAAATGCGGCCGCGAAAGTACCAGCACGACCGCGATGGGAATTCCGCGAACCGCGGTTGCTAAGGTTCAGAGAGTGCATAATTCAAGAAAAAATGAGAATAGCGGTCCGTGTCAAAGTTACACGGCCGCAGAATTCTCTCACGCGGACGTGGTAGAAATTACGCGGTCCGCAAAACAAGGTTCAACCCAGGTCCAGATGTGAAGAACGCGTACCGTGATCAGAATTACGAGGCCGTGAAAGCAAGTGTGCGGCCACGGTCAGAATTACGCGGCCGCGAAACTTCTGCATGTGTATTTTTGTCCGAAAATTTCAACTTAGTATAAATAGACTTTATTTGTCAATTTTAGGTTAAGTTATATTTTTGCTGAGTACGTGAGACGGCTTGGATTTCCCTTTTAGGCAATTTTGTACAAGATTTACCTTATAACATTAGATTTTCATCTTTTAATTTAGTATTATGGATTATATCTTCTCTTTATCTTTGATTTCTGCTATTATTATGAGTAGCTAGACCCATATCTAGGGTTGTGACCCAACCCTAGTGTGGGTAATTAATGGGTCTTGAATTTTAGGGCTTGATTGTTTATGGGTTAGTGATATTTAGCCTAGTTCATGCTAGAATTGTAGAATTAGTGGTTGCAAACACTGATTCACCCCTTTGCGAGTTAGGCTCTTCTTGAGAAAGATGGACTAAGTCTAGGAAAACTAGGCTAACAAGTAATTGGGGTGAACTCAAGAAATTGATAGCCCCAATTAAAGGGTTAAACCTAGAGATAGTAATACCTGACTTGAGCTAATATCACTTGTATTGCATGAATACCCATTTGGACTTTAGAAAGCCAAATTGGGCAAAATCACTCAAACTACCGAGAGGTATAGAGTGAGTACTTGGGTGTGATAGCTATATTGCTATCCTAAATTAATCAAGCTATCCCTAGATTCTTACTACCCGTTAGATGTCCACCCAGGCGGAAGTCACTGCCCTAGTCCTTTTAAACACTTGAAAACCAACAAAAAGAATATTGTACTTAGCTTTAATCATTGCATACAATCGAATAGAATTAGAAGTAGAATCAACACCATCATGTTTGGAAGTGCAATTAGGAACAAAACACACATCTAGACTTAGATATAAACCTAATTCCAAATCAATTAACACCCTGTGGATTCGATCCCGACCTTGTTGGATAAAACTATATCGTTTATCCTCGCTACTCAATAGTAGTGCAGGCTTGGACCTGATCAGCGGCATTGGCAGAAATATGTGCAAGGCATGCTGCACACTGGCATGGCATGAAGGCATGACAAGGCTGGGCTTGTTGGCGCCAAAATTTGAAGGTTGCACCCATGTACCACGCACATGTATGGCAGTTGGCAAGTTAGGCAGTTTCTTGTTTTTCAGCATGAGTGGCTATGTGGGGCTGCGAGCAGTTGTTTCTTTTGAAATTCGAAATTTGAATTCCTTTGCAGTTGGGGATGTCAACTGCTAGGAAAGGATAAGGCTGTGAGCCAAAATTTTTTGCCTATATATTATTAGTCTAGGCAGACTTGTTAAGGCAGAGTGTTGGTTGTTTTTGCCTATACATGGGCCGTTAGCAGATATCCTTCTTTCATCCGTCCTTACAACATTCCCACTGTGAAGGAACATTGTCATTTCTAAGATTTAGACATTATTGCTCCTGATCTAGCAGAGCCGGTAACCTTACACAAGAAGTGTTTTACGTTCTTCTATATGTATACCTTCACTTTGGGGACATCTTCTCTGAGTGGAGGACGATTGCTTGCCTTCGGCGCCTGTGCCAAGAAACGGGGGAAGAGCTATCCCTAGCTCACGTGATGAACCTTTATTCCCCCAAGATCTTCCGTAAGGGATAGTTAAATTCACCAAGCGAGGCCACCATGCACTACTATCCAGCATGGATGATGATAGCGATCATGGGTGGATGGAACGGTTTGTTTCAGTTTCCACCAGTGAAATCATCCCGGCCTCGGCTCCTTCCTTCCCCGAATTGTGGAACTGCACTCGTAAGTATACAGTTTGCTTCTACTCTTGTTAAAGATCTTTCCTCGTCATTATTAACCTTCCTTCTTTTACCTGACTCAGCGACTCGGTAGGTTCCCCATAGGGTTGAGGGCTTGAACTAATGGATTCAGAAAAATTTGAACATTACTACGCCCGAAACCCGCTCGTGGAATGAGTTATCCCTTAAATATGGGTAGAAGGCCAAAAGTCATGGTAAGTTTAATCATCATGTCCTTACCTTTTCTAATGAGAAAGTTATCTAATTCTTCTCTCCTATTGAATATAGGTCTATTCCAGGGCTCAGTTGTCGTCCCTGAGGAGGACGTTTTGGTTGATCCTTCTGATGCGGCGAGGCTGCTGCAAAAGGCATTTTCATAGACAGGCGTCTCTGGGCCTGCTTCTAGTGCAAGTGCTTCTTCTCGGAGTCCCCGACCGGAGAACAAGCAACCAAAAAGAAGGCGTTCCTCCGCAGCTAGGGGAAAGAATAGGAGGGCGAAGAATGCTTCCCCCGAGTCATCTCCGAAAGTCATGGTGACGAGCCCTCCGCCCGGGCCGACCATAGATACCGTGATGATTGACGATTATGGAGAAGTTAGCGAGGAAGGAGCTTCTCTACATAGAAGATAACGACCTTCCTCAACTCAATGGACCGCTCAATTTGTTGAGTTAATTACACCAACCGAGGATGATGTCTCGATGCTCTGGGGGGAGTATGAAGTGGTGGATAATGCCAACTCTCGTTTCGGGGTCCTAGTCACTACGCCCGATATTGTGGGGATGAGTACCTCATCCCTACTGTCTTCAGTTGATGAGCAACCAACAACCAGCACTGCGTTTGTCGCAGCTGCTTCTCACCCTTCAACACTATCAGCTTCATCTCCATCTTCACCAACTCTTCCAACAGCAACTGCTACATCATCTCCACCAGTTGCATCTGTCCGAGAAGAAATGTTCCTCTTCCCTATTCCCCTGTTCATGGGAATTTGGGGCAAAATTATGTTGCCCACTCAGAAGATCCGCAAATGAGGAGGAACGTTATTCTCTCGGTCTCCACCGGATGTAATTTGTTATCCCGGCCGGTGGAACTTGCTAACTATCTGAAGCCTTTGGCTTCAGAAAAAGATTAAGAAAAGATACAGGCTCTCTCGGGAGAGTGCTTGTTGAACAACGTCATGCACAATGCCGCAACGGTACATTCTTCATTGTTTTTGGCATTTCTCCTGTCTTTCTTGTTTTGCAGGCCAATTTCATTGCTTTCGAGGACCTCTAGAGGTTGATTAGGGAAAAATAAGAACATACCTCCGAACGGGATCAACTTTTGGTAGAGTGGGATCAAACTGATGCTCGCCTCTCTGAATTGTAAGCCAAAGTTGCTGAGGCCTTTGTGTTGGAGACTCGTTTGAAGAAAAGGGATCAAGAAGTGGAAACCCTTAGCCAGGATAATGCCCCACTGAGGGTTCAATCAAGAATTGAAGAGCTTGTTGTTGCAGTAGTGAAATATGCCCAATTGGAGGAGAAGTATAAGAAGACCATTAAGCATAATAGAATTTTCAGCTCTACTGTCCGCGAAATCGACGGATCATTGATTTAGAGCAACTTACCTCGTTGTTGAGAAAACTTATGTTATGTAAAGGATGAGGAGAAAAACCTTGGAAGAGGCTAAAGTGGGTATCATTGATTTTAATGCCGAAATTGCTAAAGCCCGTGAGCTAGAGTCGGCTGCTAAAATGGGTCTCATGGTAGGGCCCGATGCTTCCAGTTCTTCTAGTTATGGTTTCGAAACTTTCGGAACTAAAGAGGAACTAGACGGTGAAGATTTTGAATGCCAAACTGATGAGGGCCAAGAAATTGAGCCATCGACAGATCTACCCACTTCCCCTGAGGGCGCAGACACTTCTCTTCCTCCGGGTTCCGGAGATGCAGCAATTTACCTTTTCCTTTATTTTCCCAACTTTTGTATCAGTGCCGTTTCAGCACGCTTATTGTGAATAAGAACATCTTTTGCTCAAGTATTGCATGAGTCTTTTTTCGTTTGAATATTTATGTAAGTTTTAATCTTTGCATTCNCCTCTTATATTTACGGTGCTCTTGAAGAGGACGTCTCCTGTTCATTACGGCACTAACATTTGAATTACTTGTTTAACTTTTAAATGATAAAACCAATTCATCGCTCAAAAAAGAAACAAGATAGAAATAAAATGACTTTACTTTATTCCTTCCATTTTCAAAAAGTACATAAGCATTCGTTATGCTAAAAAGAAATTTCCATTTCTTGTGGCTAGCTAGCTTATACAACTTGTTTCTACGGGGCTGGCTACGCAGTCCCCGGTCCCGAAGACATAACTATGTTTCCGATTTTCATATTTCGGTCGACGTGGCAGTCATTATTGTCGTATCCTCATATCATTCACCCCTAGTGTTTGAATGCGAAGAATGCAAATTGGAACACTGGAAGTTTTGCACCTTCGAGGTCTCCATTAATGAATTGCTAGATAATCTTCAGTTCGGTAACAAACTTCGCTTCCCCTTAGAAATTTATGCTATCGAGCCAAAGACTATCTAACAATCCATAAGTGGTTTGCGCTTGTGAACGGTCAGGTAACCTTTGATTGATAGAAAACTCAATTTCCCGGTGAAAATTTTGCTATCGAGCCAAAGATTATCTAACTGTTCCGTAGTGGCTCTTCGCTTGTGTGCCTTGCTATTAAAGGTCTTATTACTGCTGATGAACCTTCTTTGTAGTATGCTTTCCGTTGCTGCCTCAATAAAAACATTTCCAGAAAAACCCAATTGGGACAAAAACTGGACAAAAGTAAAAGGAGCGCAGCACATACTTTCAGTACATGTGATGTTTGTCAGCAATAATATCTCTTGAGGTGTGCCACATTCCAGTTACTAGGCAACTTTTCTCCATCCTGATTCTCCAACTCATATGAACCTTTCCCGGTGACAGCTGAAGTCCGGTAGGGGCCTTCCCAGGTTTGACCTAGCTTCCCCGCGTTGAGTTCCCGAGTGTTTTGAGTTACTTTCCTTAGAACCAAGTCTCCCACTTTCAAATAACGGAGGTTAGCTCTTCGATTATAATATCTTTCCATTTTCTTCTTCTGGGCTGCCATTCTTATATGTGCCAAGTTCCTGCACTCATCGAGTAGCTCCAAGTTGACTAACATTGCTTCATTGTTCGGCTCTTCACTTGCCTGGAAATATCTCAAGGTACACTCTCCTACTTCCACGGGGATTAAGGCTTCAGCTCCATACACAAGGGAAAAAGGAGTTTCTCATGTGCTTGATTTGGCCATTGTTCGGTATGCCCATAGCACTCCAGGCAGTTCCTCAGGCCATTTACCTTTATTCGTTTCCAATCTCTTCTTGAGATTTTGTATAATCACTTTGTTCGTCGATTACGCTTGACCATTTGTGCTCGGATGATAGGGCGAAGATGTGATTCTTTTGATTTTCAAGTATTCAAGGAACTTTGTGATCTTTGCGCCTATAAACTGTGGCCCGTTATCGCATGCTATCTCTTTTGGTATTCCAAACCCACAAATTATGTTCTCCCACAAGAAATCCACCACTTCACGTTCACCGATCTTCTGATAAGGACATGTTTCAACCCACTTAGAAATATAGTCAGTTAAAATTAAAATAAATCTTAACTTACCAGGGGCCGACGATAGTGGTCCGAAGATATCCATTCCCCACTTCATGGACGACCATGGATATAGAACTGAATGTAATTGTTCTGCTGGTTGATGTACTAGTAGTGCATAGTGTTGACACTTATCGCATTTTTGCACGAAAGCTTTGGCGTCCTCTTCTATTCGGGGCCAATAATAACCTGGCCATACTAGTTTTAGTACTAAGGAATCTACGCGTGAATGATTTACACATATCCATTCGTGAACTTCCCGCATAACATAATTAGATTTGGACGCTCCCAAGCATCGGGCCAGCGGCCCATGGAAAGATTTCCTGTACAGATGGCCTCCTTTGAAGCTATATCGCGCTGCTTTGGCGCGTAGCGCCCGGGACGCCTTGGAGTCTTCGGGCAACTTTTCTTGCTCGAGATAATTGATGATCTCATTTCTCCAGTCCCAGACCAAATTAGTCATATTTACCTCATATTAGCTATCTGCATCCAGAATCGAGTGCATGAGCTGTACTACCGTCCTGGAATCCGATCCCTTCATTTTCGTTGATGAACCGAGGTTAGCTAATGCCATCGCTTCTGCATTTTCTTTCCTCGGGATATGAGTAATCGACCACTCCCGGAATCGAGCTAGCAGAATCTGGACCTTCACTACGTATTGTTGCATGCACTCCTCTCTGGTTTCGAAGATCCCGTAGACCTCATTTACCACCAGCTGGGAGTCGCATTTCATTTCTATGACCTCAGAATCTAGTCCCCCGAGTCATGCAATCAAAGCTTCATACTTTGCTTTGTTGTTAGTTAAGGGGATCGTTCTTTTGTCTCGCCTTAGGGTTTCTCCCGAAGGCGTGGTTAATACTATGCCAAGAACGAACCCCTTCACGTTGGAAGATCCGTCCGTAAACAAGCTTTAAACCTCCAATGTCGATTCTGACACCATCATTGCTTCTTTGGTTGCTAGAGGCAGCAATCCCGGACTGAAATCAGCCACAAAGTCGGCCAAAACTTGTGACTAAATCGCAGTCTTAGGTTTATACTCTATGTCGAATTCACTCAATTCGACGGCCCATTTGGCTAATCTACCAAAGAGTTCAGGATTTTGAAGGATATTCCGCAGGGAAAAGGTGCTATCCGGTGACATTGGAAGTAAGGCCTCAACTTTCGAGCGGCGACTACGAGAGCTAATGCTAGGTTCTCCAAATGCAGGTAGTGAGTTTCTTCTCCCATTAAAATTCTACTAACGTAATAAATGGGAGATTGCGTAACTTTGTCCTCACGGATTAAAACGACGTTTACCGCTACCTCTGAGACCGCTAGGTACATTAACAGTGTTTTACTTCCTTTGGTTTTGATAGTAACGAAGGACTTGACAAGTACCTTTTCAAATCTCTCAAAGCCTGCTAGCATTTCGGGGTCCATTCGAAGTTGTTTTTCGTTTTTAGCAGCTCGAAGAAACAATGGCATTTCTCTGATGATCGGGAAATAAACCTGCTCAAACCAGCCAATCTTCCTGTGAGCCTTTGAAATTCTTTCATGCTTGATAGCTGGTCCGGGATGTCTTCGATGGCTTTGATCTTATCGGGGTTTACCTTAATTCCCCTTTGTGATACCAGAAATCCTATGAACTTGTCGGAGCTGAACCCGAACGTGTTCTTCTCGGGGTTAAGCTTCATGTTATGCTTCCTTAGGATGTCAAACGTTTCTTGAAAATGCTTAAGATGATCACATGTTTTCAACGACTTAACAAGCATATCGCCTATATAAACTTCCATGGTTTTCCCTATCTATTTTTCAAACATCTTGTTTACGAGCCGTTGATAAGTGGCTCTGGCATTCTTTAGCCCGAAGGGCATCATATTATAGCAATATGTACCGAAATTTGTTATGAACAAAGTCTTTTTCTGATCCTCCGGGTTCATCTTAATTTGGTTGTACCCGGAATAAGCATCGAGGAAACTCATTAACTCGTGCCCGGCCGTTGCATCAATCATTTGATTGATATTTGGCAGTGGGAACGAGTCTTTTGGGCACGCCTTATTCAAGTCCTTATAATCTACGCACATGCGAAATTTATTGTTATTCTTAGGAATTACTACTACATTAGCTAGCCAGTCTAGATACTTTACCTCTCGGATCGAACCGATATCAAGCAGGCGAGTTACCTCTTCTTTGACGAATTTATTCCTGGCCTCCGTAATAGGGCGTTTCTTTTGCCTTACCGGAGGGATGTTGGGATACAAGCTTAGATTGTGTACGGCCACTTCCGTTGGGATACCTGTCATATATTCATGCGACCACGCAAAATAATTGGTATTATACTTAAGAAATTCAATAAAGCAAGACCTGAACTCGGGGTGTTATCCTGTCCCCAAGTAGAATTTCCTCTCCAAGAATTTTTCAAACAATGCAACTTGCTCGAGCTCTTCCGTTGTGGACTTTGTTGCATCCGTCTCTTCTGCTACCTGGAAGTATCTTGGGACCTGATAAGATTCTGATGCTTCTCCCCCTAGTTAACTTCACTTGATTTGAAAGTCAGCGTCGGTCCCTGTAATTGCTACACCGCATGCTCCTTTCAGTTGCTACTAGAGACCGAAACGACATTCATCTCCCTTGCCCACAGTTGGTCGCCTTTTATCTGTTTAATTCCTTTGGGAGTTGGGAATTTCAGCAACTGATGATATGTTGATGGTATGGCACTCATCTCTTGCAACCACGGTTTTCCCAGAATAATGTTATAACCCATATCACCGTCCACAACTTTGAAAAGAGTCATTTTTATGACCCTTCGGCATTTGTTGGTAGCAGGATCTCTCCTCGGGTTGTCATGCTTACGAGGTTGAATCCGGCGAGGAGTTTTGTTACCGGAATGATGCTTTTGGTAAGTTTGTCTTGCTCCAATACCCTCCATTGTATGATATTGGCCGAACTTCTTGGATCCACCAGAACACGTTTGATTTAAAAATCTAGTACATTTAAAGAAATTACCAATGCGTCATTGTGCGGTAGCAACAGTTCGTCCGCGTCCTCCTCCGTGAAAGTGATGTCGTCTTTCGCAACTTCCCGGAGTCTCTTGCTCTGGGTTATTGACACCTTCATTTTCTTTGCTGCCGAGAAGGTAACCCCGTTGATCTCGTTCCCCCTGAAGATCATGTTGATCGTCTGGCGTGAGGGGTCTTCTCCTATTTTTGAGTTCTCCACGTTATTACGGTTGCGACCGTAATTGTTCTTGGCCCGGTCACTTAAGAATTCCCTGAGATGAATATTTTTTAGTAGTGTCGCCACCTCTTCACTAAGATGTCGGTAGTCCCCCAGTCCGGTGGTCATTCGTCCAGTGGTATTCACACTACAAATTAGGATCCCTCTTGCTGGGATCAGACCTCATCGGCTTCGGGAACCGTGCTTCTTTAATGTTCCTCATAGACATACCAACTCTACTACACTAATGTTAAAGTTGTATTCTGATAGCCTGGGTAGGAAGGAACCCGTGTACCTGACGTTTCTTTGTCCTGCAATGATCTGTTGTTCTGACTGCGAGCAGTTCTTCTGTCGGTAACAAACCTGTTTGCCGACCGAAAATCTCTGTCGCGTCCTTCAGCCCATTCGTAGGGAAAAAACTGGCGCCTCGAAGACCGTTTATCTGTGTCGAAATCGTCTTTTGATTTTTCTTTATTCTTCTCCTGACCTTTTGCCGACAACGGGAAGCCAATCTGATCATCTCCAATCCTTATCTTAGACTCGTACCGGTTGTGGACATTCACCCAAGTGGTCACTTGGAACTCAAGCACGCTTTCCTTCAATTTCCGGGAAATATCAGAACTTCTCGGATTCAGACCCTTGGTGAATGCTTCAGTCGCCCATTCATCCGGAATAGCCAGGAGCAATATCCTCTCCTTTTGGAACCGGGTGATGAATTCTCACAGCAACTCAGACTCTCCTTGTGAATTCTAAATATGCCATCCTTTTGGGCCTACAACTTTATGGCCCCGATATGGGCCTTAATAAAAGAATCCACGAGTATGTACGACATATTCAATCTCGTGGGGAGCTAAATCGTTCCCCTTCACCGCCGTTGTATAGGTGGTAATATGCTCCTGAGGGTCCGAAGTCCTATCATATTTCGGCACGTCGGGTATTTTAAACCACTTCGGGATCAATTCTGGTGTCGCGCTTGGTTTGTACGACAACTGGGTATACTTCTTTGAGTCCGGCCCTTTCAGCACCGGTGGTGTACCCGGGATTTGGTCCATGCGGGCGTTCATTTCCCTCAAAAGCTGTACGAGCTCGCTTTTGAAGGGATCGCTCTTGTTGTTGTGGATGAAACCACTCCCCCCCGACCCCATCAGAGACGACCTCGCCTCTCGGGGTGTTGTCGTCGACCCTCTGCGTTGTTTGATTTGCGGGAGCGCCGGGAGGAACTGGACCTCGTCCATTTGCATTATTGGAAGCACCCGATAACATCTGCTTTATTTATGTTATAACCTTATTATGCCGTGTGAGGTGGCCTAGAATGACCTCTTGTTGCTCTTGCAGGACCCTTACCGCTTCAACAACGTGCTCCTCTTCAACATCATCGGGAGTCGCCTCCCGAACATGTCGCGGGTACCGCCTGATATGGACCGGCGTAGCATCGTTTCCCTCATTGTATGTGTCACTGATTGAATCCTCATGATGAGGCTGGTTTCCTTGGGCCTCAAGATTGTGTGTGTTATTACCACAATTATCTGTCATTTTCTGTGATTTTTTGCTAAGGACAAATAATCAAAAGACGTTAGTAAAAGAGGCAAGGATCAACTTAATTACACGACTGTCTAGGCCCCATGGTGGGCGCCAAACTGTTTACATGTAAAATAGTACAATTGAATTTATATGTGATTTCTAGACAAGTGAATTAATTCGATCATGAAATAATACAAGAATTGAAGAAATATGCAATACTTAGCCCTGATATGAAGACGAAATAGCAAAAACAGTAATTTCGGGAGCAAGGCTTCCGTGAACAACAGTAATGAAATCAAAAAGTAAGAAGGTAAAATTGTATAAAGTTTTGAATAGATTATAGCGTCAGTTTGCTAGAAAATTCGTGTCCTTTACAGTGATAGCATAACTCACTATTTATAGTTGTTTCTAGGGAACAAGGTCCTAGGATCATACCTTTCTTTAATGTCAATTATGAGGGTCATTGAAGAATGTGTAACGTCGAGCATAAATGATAAATTCTTTGTAATGGGCAGTGTACTGAATCCTGTAGAATATTCCTCATTAACTGCTACAGGGTGGCAGGTATTTATTGCATCATCATGAGCGTCATTCTTTTCGATAACAAATGGAACAGTTGTCTTCGGTTTTAGCTATCCTCTGCCTTCGGCTCCACGTGTCACTGTCTTATGCAATTACCTAGCATAGCATATTTTTACCCTATACTGTATTATGTCAGATCTAAATAGATCATTCTTTCTACATAGGTAAATTTTTGCCTGCTAGGTAAGAGGATGATAAGTTTCAAATTGTGTCTCGGTAGGACATATATTTTTATTACTATAAAATTTATAAATGACGTACTTAATGGTAGGGTTACCATTATTCTTTTTGCAGTGATGAATTTTATTTTTGTTCCGAAGAAAAGAAATTTATCCATTATTTGGAGTCCCAAAAGAGAGTGGAAACTAATTGCCACCAACTTTTAGTGTACGTGTGCCGTGAAAAAGTTAAACAGACTTATTAGTATTCACCCTTCTATTATTTCTCAAACTGAAGAATAGTACAAATTTTATACGTCATTCGTTGTATAATTTTTGGTACTTTTCATTTATCCGTAGTTAATTCGAATGTAGGATTACTGATCTACAAGTTCTATGACACAACAGTGAAGTTCTACAAAAAAGCAAAGTTAATTGGTGGGCAAGAAACCCGCTTGCGTTTAGAGGTCGTTTGATAGGGTGTATAAGAATAATGTTGAATAGGGTATATTAATAATATTGAAAATAATTATTCTAGAATTATTTTATATCGACTGTTTGACTTGGAGAATTAATAGTTTTGAAAGGATAGTTATGTCTTTATACATACTTATTTATGTATTAAAAATTATGATATTACTAATGATATGATTTGCTATACATAAAAATAGTACCGAATATAGTATATTAGTTATACATAGGTTGAAAAATACTTACCAAATAAGAGATTAATAATATCAAAGCTAATACATGTATTATCCCTAATATATCCTACCAAACGACCTCTTAATAACTTAGGATCTCAGTACAAAATGCGAAAATTACCTATAGCAGACCGTTTTAGAGTAAAATCATAATACAATACTATATTGGAAAATTATGTCATTTTAAAACATTACCTTACTTAACTTAACTCTTAGAAAAAATTCTGAAAAGTATTTGGTAAAATAACTAGAGCGAAGAATAAGTAAAAAGGTACTGAGGTGGCTGAGAACAATAAATATAAGGAGGAAGCAGTGGTTAACTGGTAAACAAAAAACAAAAAAATCAAAGGGGTAGTAATTGATGTGGGGAGGGGTCGAAAATTAATGAACATGTGAGGTTAGTTGCATTGCATCTGAAGTTCTGAACTCCCGAAAGGTACAACTGTCAATTTCGATGTACTTTCTGAACTCGTTAAAAGAGCAGTCCGGTACACAAGACAGTCCGAATTTACAAAAAATTCGAAAAAAGATCGCACCCCAAATAATAAGTGCATAAAATCAGATCAATAAATATATAACACCATAATAAGTATTTGCACACATACTTTTTTCACTTAAAAAGAACATAATTTTTATACTTCCTGTATTGAAAGTCAATTTTACCAGAACCATCATCATTTAAAAAAACTGTATTGAGAAAACAAAAACAAAAAAGAGAAGATAAAGTGTGTCACATTTGTGTCAGCAGCTGCAAGTTCAGTGAATAAGGGCACAACTTAAACTGGTGATGAGATTGGATTTAATAGGGCTCGCAGACCAAAACTAAACCCAAGTTCAACGTTATCCCTTTTGTCCCTATTTTTGGATCTTATTTTTTTCCCTACAAATATGGCTATTTATTAGATAGGTGGATGGTATTAGATTATATTCCAAAATATTGGAATATTTCTGCTGATGTAAATCTCGACGAATATTTCATATTTTAGAGATTCAAACTTCTTAATTTTGAAGGCGAATCTTTCAATATTTTTTGAAATAAAAATTTATTGTAATAATTAATAATTTAAAATATTTAAATTATATATAAAAATTCATTGACTCTTGAAATCAAAACTGTATCAAGCAAATTAGAACAAAAGGAATAGTAGATTAACGGGCAACACAATTATAGTATGATGAGATCCTTCAAGCCTTGCCTGTTTGATGTAGAAATGCTCTTATGTGCCCACTTATAGTTTTACTAGAAAGAAATAAATATATAAAGATCTCCTATGATATTTTCTAATCTAATGGACTAGATTTGATTCATTATGTTAATTTGAAAATATGGATAATAGATTATTAATGTTTGTTTGCACTTTTTCTTTACGTGCTTTATTGTATTCTCTTTTCAATTACTTGCAATGCATTTTGTCTGAAAAACTACTTTTTACAATTAAGCCTTCAAAATGACATTTGGGCAAAATTCCATTTTTATGAAATTCCAAATGGCTGTTTTATACGCTAGCATGAATTCGGAAGCATTTGCCATAAAAAAAAATATATATATAAAAAATAAAAGCGATGCTTTTAATTTTACATTAATGAGAACATGGAACTCTAGAAACTCATAGAATTGACCAGATCTACATTTTTTTTTACAGATGAAGATTCACATTTAATCTTCGAAAGTCTATTTGGATTTGTCGTTTGTTAATTGATAGTATAGATAATTAGATGTTTTTCAATAATAACAGGACCGCGTAGCGCAGTGGATTAGCGCGTTTGACTTCGGATCAAAAGGTCGTGGGTTCGACTCCCACCGTGGTCTATATTTTTTTCTTCCATTCAACTGCAGAACTAGATTTGCATGTTCACGAATTTCTCAAAATGATAAATGTTTCCATTCTTCAGAAGAATTAAAGAGAGCAACAAATGAAATCAAGAATTTGATATACAATATATTTCTGCTTGTTTTTTTTCTGCTTTTATATGATTTTTTGGTATTGTCCATTGTCTATATTTTCATTAATGTGGTGTTTATATTTTCCTGAGCCTATAGTCTATTGAAAACAACCTCTCCATCCTCTGTGTACACACTACCCTCCCTAGACCCCACGGTGTGAGATAATACTAGGTATGTTGTTGTTATTGTTATTGTTGTTGTTGTTTCTGTTTAGCATTTCAAATATGACTACCAAAAAAGTTTCCAATATACTACAAAAATACAAATTAAAGATGCTTACAATATCTGTTTAGGGTATAAGTCCCATGACTCCTTTGCCATTTCACTTCTGATACCTTAACTCTTTTGACCAATACATGAAATAAATAACTACAATAGTGATAGGCAGCATACATACATGTCTTAGCTGCTTATTCACATTGTAAAAGAATTACAAACTATTATTCATAAATTTTAAATAAAGATTACTACTTGAATCAAACATTGCTCCAAAAAAAGTCAGCTAAGAATTTGGAACAAACACTCCAATATAGCCAAATCCAGCCACAAAAAAGGCCATGCTTTGAAGGAAGAGGTATATGTAGAATCTATTCTTTCCGAATGAGTAATCGTACCACCCACAAAACAAAAGGTACAACCCGACGAAAATCTCCATGAAATGTAGCTTGTACCTTTCTCCAATTCGAAAACGATCTTTCTTAGAAGCTTTTGAGCTCATTTTAGTCTTCAGTGCATCTCCCAATTTCTCTGTCACGACCCATTCGTTGACTCTACCCGCTTCAAATAGGCCGATGAACGTTGCCCTCGTCCGATGAAGGGACATTACATTCTCAAATAGGATCCAGAAAACCAATAAATGGAGTGATCTATACCACAAAAAGAGAAGGAATTAAGACGTGTCAATAATTCAACCAATGGATTTAAATCTTTTAAATCCAATGAGAATTTGCACGTAGCTTCTGGTCTTTAACATTAGAAAAAAGAATTTTTTTTTTTTCTCTACCTCGGCGTGCCAACAGCGTTGAGGAGAGTGATAGTGGAAGGAATATAGACAGCCCCCCATATAGGAACTTGAACTTCAGGGATCAAAACGGTGGCAGGCATAACAACACAATAAAAAACAAATGTAACAATATGCGCAACGATTTTTCTGACAAAGAAGAAGCTGTAAATCAGATAACACTTCTTCCACATAGAGACTTTCTGCAATGATATAAAACAAATATCAAATAGACATTTTACTTGTTGGAATTTCAATTTTTATGTTAAATAGCTCAAAATAAGAGCTATATATGTTTGTAACACACCTTGTTTGCAGCAATTTCCAGTGCCATTTTCCTAAAAAGATTAGCAGGTCCACATGACCACCTGTGCTGCTGATAACGATAGGCCTTGAATGTACTTGGCAATTCATTTTTCACCTAATTGAATTTGTTAAAAAGAGACAATGAAAAACGCTTAAATAAAGCGACATGGATAGTGAAGATTCATACAGCCGATCACAACTTGTTTGAAATTGAAATGCAATTACTGTTGGCGTAATAAAATATATTTTTTCAAAGAACCATTAGGTGAAGATAACAAATTAGTAAAATAGAACTATGGATTCATTCACTGCATTGTTCTTGATTATTATTATTTTTTTTAAAAAGTGGAGGGTATATTGGAAACAATCTCTCTACCTTCACTAGATAGGAGTAAGACCTGCGTACACACTATAATTCTCAGACCTCACTTGTAAGAATACACTGGGATTATTATTGTTGTATTTTTTGTTTAAAAAAGCAGATAATATAAGATTCTGGGACCCTTTTCAGCCAATTCTTTAGCTTAAATCTGACTTCCTATCAGTTGTCTTTCAGAGTGATTGTGGAAGCTACTTCTATGAAAATGATTTATGACATAGTTCCACTGGCATTTTCTGCTAATTTTTAATACACATGGCTAATCATTTGTTTCCATCACTCTTTCAGAGGAAATGATTGGCTACAGAATTTTAATTTTTAAACTTCTCCCCCACAAAAAAAAAAAAGAAAAAAAAGTGGGGTTTAGTGATCATGAGATTAGACTTTACCTACCATATATTTCCACCGCTATCAAAATGAACATAGTACTAGCCTTGAGCATAAATCTAATCAATAAATGGTTCTATTTAATAGTTTTGTTAATTCTATAGGTTATTGTAGTCTGGATCTATGAGCCGAGGGTCTATCGAAAACAACCTCTTTACCTTCACAAGGTTAGGTTAAGGTCTGCTTACACATTACCTTTTCCAGACCCCACTTGTAAGATTATATTGAATTTTTTATATTATAATCTGGATCCTGTAAATTATAATTATACCTTAAGGTCACCAATATAGACAAATTTCCAGCCTTTGAGACCAGCTCGAACTGCCAGATCCATATCTTCCACAGTTGTCCTGTCTTTCCATCCTCCAGCTTCATTAAGTGCTGCAATTCTCCACACCCCTGCAGTTCCTGCATCCATTTTTAGCAAGAAAAATGTCGAATTAAACGTACGATTATTTATTGAATTTTATCAGGTATAACAGTAAAGTCACAACTATTGTTGTCACATTGTTTCTGTTTTGGCGAATGGGGTGGGGGATTCTGCTGTAGCCTACCATTGAAGCCAAAAAATGCATGGGTTGCAGATCCAACTTCTTGCTCCACTGTGAAATGGTAATCCAATGACATTTCTTGCATTCTTGTCAACAAGCATTCATCTGAATTAACTGCAATTAAAATACCACCATTACTTTTCCTGTCAAGTTCTTGTATTGCAATTTTAATATGAAACTTTACAAGCTCAAGTAATAAAATATTATGGTAATAAAGCATATAAAAACCAAATGGGGTTTAACATATTTGTTGTTGCACTGCCTTAATTAGAACTATTCATGGTCTTGATGTACTCTCAATGTAATTATGTGAAACCAACAAAAAACTTTTAATTTTTTTTAATAATCATGATGTTGTGTACTAATGCTCTTGATAACTTCACATTGAAGTCTTAAACTGGAGGTGGTAAAATCAACCCATTTTTTCTAATCCGTCTAACGCATCCAAGATATTGGAACATTCAAGATTAAGTGGTACAAATTTAGATGCAACCCAAAAAATCGAAAGATATTTTCACGTGTTTGGCTATGAAAAAGAATCTTGTCCACACGTGAGGGGTGGCGTGTTAGGGAATAAGGCATATACCGAATTTCCAACGAGCTTGAACGAGTCCAACTTCAGGATTGTGTACAAGAAAAGGGATAGTTCGCATCAAGAAATCAGAATCAGGTTGAAAATCAGCATCAAATATGGCTACATAGTCACACAGCTTCACATAATTGTGCTTCATTCCTTCCTTCAGTGCCCCAGCTTTGTACCCTTTCCTGTTGTCTCTTATCTCATACTTTATGTTCACTCCCTTTCCTGTCCATCTCCTGCACTCTTGTTCCACCATAGCCTGTTTATTTTATTAGAACATTTTTAGTAATTGCACTCATTCCCTTTACCAAAAACGAGGGATTTAAGTTATATACACCGACAATGTCAATTTTTTACGCCATCATTATAGTTTAACTTGTAATAGCAAATTACTCATAGCATACTATTTTTATCAGGTTACCAACTAAGGTTTATTGTAGCAATTTATGTTTATTAACTTTACAAGTGACATGACTGTAAATTTTTCTTAATTTTAACTAAAAAAAAGGATCATTTTCAGAAGCCTATGCTAGATTAGGTGTACTACTATTAGGAGTTCACTCTTTAATTAAAAGAATCATTTCAAATTATAGTAGAAAAAGATGATAGTCATTTGTGCAACTTCTTTTTCCTACTAGTAGAAATTTAAGGTATGTTTGACCTTAATAGTAGGATCAGTTGAATCATCAAGAACTTGAATAAGGATTCTATCAGCTGGCCATGAAAGGTTACAAGCAGCTCCAATAGACAATTGATATACCTGCAAAGGAACAAAAGAAGTTTAACTTTGATAACATAAATAATTTTTTACACTATCACGTCATTAAAAACATAACTACATGCCACTCTTCATAAAAATTGGAATTAGTAACCTCGAAAATAAGATAAATACACTTGCTACAACATGTTAAGATACAATGATAATATAAAAAGTCTTTACGTTAGTACTGTATGGGCAGCCCGGTGCACAAGGCATCCCACGTTCATGCAAGGTTCGGGGAAAGGCCGCACCCAAAGGGGTGTGACGTAGACAGACTACACTAATGCAAACATTAATGGCTGCATCAACGGCTATATAAATTAAATATTCAAAAATCTCATTATACTCAAAGCAAGCCATATATCAAAAAATACTCTGTTAAAAGAGATACTGAAAAAAAGTACCTCTCTTTCATTGTACATTGGTATTTGCACTAATACAATAGGATAAGAATAATTTGCTAGCTCCAAATCATCTTTTACTGGCTCCCATTTGTACTTCTTTTCCGGTTTTCGCCTCAACAGCTTGATAAAAGCTATGACAATTCCCATATAAACTCTCTCCACAAATAACATCAAAGACATGGCCAAGCACAAGACAACCATAATTCTGAGAAATGGTACAAGCAATGGAACTCTAACTTGCTGCCACAGCAATCCAATCTGGCTAGTAACACTATCGCGAGTACTCAAAGAAGTATCAGAGGAAATCCAATCCATATTCTTGGCTATCTTAAATGTACTGTTACTTAATTTAAGCTAGCCAAGAAAATGGTAGAGTAAAAAAAGAGAGCTTTTATCAGTGAGTAGAGAAAGAACTAGGACATGGTGCTATATATATGAGTGTGCTTGTGCGTGTATATATAAAAATATATATATTGAATATGTTGCTTTGCGAAAAGAACACGAATGATATGCAATTCTTGCTTTAGTTTTGAGTGGGAATAGCCTTTGATTTTTGCTTCTGAGCTACTCCAAAGACTTAGCTGTATATATCTTTGTCAGTCACTTTGAAACTTATAGGCCAATGGGGAAGAACAGAATCACATGCAAAATTATAATATCATCAACCTAACAGAAACTACTCAGACTTGATACAATGCAGATCCTCTTGGTAAGCAATGGATGCAACAGTTTGAAAAAGAGAGACAACTTAATATTTTTTTGGGTTCGACCAGCTGGAAGATATTCTTAATATGGAGTGATAAGATTCGTTTTGGGGTCAAACTCGCACGGTTTTTCCGGAAAGGCCTCACACCATTAATAGTATCCCTACACCTTATTTTAGCTAGCTACCAACGTGGAACTTTATTTGCACACCGAACATATTTATATACATATATTTAATTTCTTGGTTTTTATGGATACTTATTCTCCCGGCCCATTTCTTTATTCAATGTTTAAGGAGTCAAAGCCCCATTATATTTACTATTATAGACAAAAATTGGGATGTCTTTATATAAGCAAGAGTAAAGCCAAAGTAATAAGTCAAAAGGAAAGAGACTAGAGAACTCAAACCAACATCTCATCTCATATTCTATTGGGATTATTCGTTCGCATTGTTATTATAGAAGTGTAATTTTTCATTATCCTTCTTTATAGTTTCCTGAACATCATCGCTGGCCCATATATCCATGCTGAAGGGAGTCTTGGAGCAACGCTAAATTTGTCTTAGCGTGACCTATAAGTCACGGGTTCGAGCCGAGAAATCAGTCACTGATGGTTGCATCAGGGTAGGCTGCCTACATCACACCATTGAGGTGCGGCCCTTCCCCGAAATCTACACGAACGCGAGATGTTTTGTATACCGGACTGCTCTTTCTCTCCTTTTGCATGCTAACAGAATCATACTTATTATTTTACTTTAGTTATTCAAAAGTAAATTATGGAATGAATTGAGGTAAAATGTGTTAGTGAGTACTTTACCAATTTGGGAAAAAAAAAACCTTTTTACTAAATTATTAGCTATGGTTATGCATTATATGGACAAATTCTAGTTTCTTTGATTTAGACTCTCCTTTAAAGTTAGTTTGGTATCATTTTACAAGCATCCTTTTCTCTTGGTCCTAAGTTCTTAATTGGGGAACGTCTAAAGGAGGTTAATTGTTGATTATAATTCTTCCCAAAATTATTACTAGTTCCGATCCATTTTAAAAAATAAAAAGAAGGGGCCGGGCTTTGTGGCTAACTAGTTCAATTAGGTTCAAAATAAAGTACACTAGAAATGATTGGTCAAACTTTGGAGTTAAGATATGTCATAATCTTAGGTGGCAAATCGTAGGATATGACATCTACCTTAAAAGAGAAAAGGAAAGAATTAATACCATTTTAGGGTTGAGTGTGAGATTTTTCATCATTAATTTCCAATTGGTTCCCCCCCCCCCCCAAAACTCTTTGAGTAGGGGTGAGATGTACATATATCTTGTGTATGTGTTGAGAGCAAGAGCGATCACATTAAAAATTTACGTAGGGTCTTCGAAAGGTTAAGAAAACTTCAACTGAAATCACGACCTTGAAGTGTTCCGAGGATAAACAAGACCAGAATGCAGATTCCCATATCAAGATTCCAGGGGATAGCCATAAAATAGTCCAAGGCAATGAACAAGCAATAGGGAGGAATGCCATTAAAAAACCACCACAGTTCCTCCGCTGAAAAGAAACCACAAGAAAGCTAATTATATTACGAACAACTATAATAGCAAAGCGGTTAATGAAGTAGGTGAAGAACAATGAGGTCTCATGTTCAAATTCTAGCGGAGACCAAAAATATATTATTAGAAGTGTATATATGGTTTCTTCTCATCTGTCTTGAGGCGGAGCTAATATTTGAACCTTATGGGTTCGGGATTATAATTCTTTTAAGTTATTGAGTTCTAAATTAATAATTTCTACATATTTATTCGATGTCTTAATACAAATACAGAGTATAAAAGCGTGGCTCCGCTCCTGCATCTGCCTAAGCTTTGGTTGGCAGAGTTGAAGTAGCAAGTACTACCCCACAAAAATAGCCGAGGTTTGCGCAAGCTAACTCGAACAACACCATCGTAAAACGAAGAACAAGCATAACCGGGGAAGGCAATTTTTGTACTAAAAAATCACCACATGAGCAAATAAAACGAGGCATTGATCTAACCCTAAGCTAGACAAACAAGAAGAGCTAGTGTAATTTCTTGTTATAGTTTTATATAGTTGCATACTACAACTATAAAAAAGAATCATCTTTGCAACTCACATTTATAAATATTTGATGAAATAATGAATTTTCTTTTTTCCAATCTAACAAAAAGAACGAATTTAATAAAAAAAGACTTACTGATTATTCTACGTTTATCTGGAAACCTAATCTTCTTAAAAATTGAGCCTGCAAGTCCAGAGGATTCAACCATTGGAAATTATTTGCAAAGAAAGACTGATACTTGAAAATTACCTATATATGTATTTTGACCTTATTATACATTTATATACTACTACTCCTAGTCCTAGTAAATATAGATTTACGGATGACTTCTTTTATTGTCCAGTTAATTTATATTCAAATTTTCTCCGTGAACGTCCCTCTTTCTCTTTTTGGGTCATATTTCTACAGTACCAAATTGCTTAAATATCAGCTAATAGACAATATTTTATAGTAACCATAACCTAAAATTTATGATTGATAAGATACGAGTAAATTACACTAATGTAAATATTCTCCAAATAAATGTCACCCATTTCTTTGATGGAAGATAAAGTGAGCTTCCGACAATAGTTAAAGTGAGAAAAATAACAGTTGAAGTCGCTTTGACCATGACTTTAATTTAATTTTTGCAAATACTCGCGGTTAAACCAATATCTACAACTAGCTAGGGGAGAGCATAGTTTGGACAAGTCCGAAATTCAAACTAAAAATCAAACTTTTGGATATTTCAATTACGAATTGGAATTCGGATTTAATTTTTAAAATTTTCAAAGTTTTTATTGAATTTCGAATTGACTTCAAATATTTGGATATTCCCAAATTCGAACTTTTATACCTTGTAATTTGCCCTATCCAGTTTAAACATTAGTAGCCTATTACCCATATACACAATCTAATAAGTACAATACCTTAACTCATATAACCAATATTAACTACTTAGTCAAATGTTATAATACTTTCTATATTGAACTTGTTAATTCTTAGGACCTTATTAATGCTTTTATAACATATCTTTGATAATAGTTTTATTGCTTATATTAATACTCTATTTGGATGATTGTAGTTGGAATGAGTAACTATTAAGGCAATTTGACATGAATACTTTGTTTGGATGTTTATTTTTGTAAAAAAAAAAAAAAAAAAAAAAAAAAAAAAAAAAAAAAAGAAGTCAACTTATAGGCTGAATACCCGAAAATTTAAAGTATTCAAACCGATTAATGTGAACCCGACTTAAAAAATATAATCCAATACGAGTTTATTTGGATTGAATTTGAATTATATAATCTACAATACGAAAATCCAAAATTCAAACCAAAATTTCCATACCCAATACGAACTATTAGAACGCCCAACCCGATCTACACTATACATTAGTTGTAAGTAGGTTTGTAAATACTAAATTTTTGCTTCCTAGATAGGGGCGTTCATGGTTCAGTTTGGGTCGATTTTCAACTAAAAAGAAACCAAAACAATTAATTCAATTTTTTAAATCTGGAAATCAAACCAAACCAATTAAGTTAGTTTTTGGTCAATTCGGTTTATGTTGATTTTTCCGCCTTTTCGGTTTTTATCGGTTGTTACTTAAATATGAGACATACACTGCAAGCAAATATTCTGCTTCAAACATAACACTATCAAACCAATTAATCTTTGAGAAATTTTATCATTTACCAAGATATATTGATAATAATTGAATTAAATAGTGATGGATTTAGAGGCAAATAACTAAATTATTGCCAAGGCAGAGAACTAGACTACCAACTAACAAATGGTTAATATGTACCATAAAGTTTTAAAATATATATATATATATATATATATATATATATATAAGAGAGATAGGGAGAGAGAGTCAGTTTAATTTGATATCCTTAAAACCAAAAGCAAACTAAATTTGATAATTTTAAAATTCAAATCGAAACAGTTTGATTTGTTTTCGGTTTGGTTTGTATTTAACCATAAAATAATTTTTGTGATCAAAACAAATAAAAGAATAATTCAGGTCACTTTTCCTAATATAGATGAATTGCAAATAATGAAAATAAAATATTGGGAGAATAAGAAAAAGGAAATCGTATTGATAGTCGCAGCTTTCATCCAAAAGTAGAGAATTAGATCTTCAAACAGCTTAATATAAACTATAAGTAATTGATAGTATAATTTCGTGAATTTCTTGATGATCGTACAAGATATGGTAAGGGGCTTATATAAGGGTACAATATATGTAATTATTTTATCCTACTTAATTCTTGCCCGTTATTAATATTTATTACATTGATTACCCATTACATGGGTAATTTATAACAGTTATGGTAATAACAGCCAACTGCTCATAATCAAGGATTATGCCGATTTCATTCCATATTCGCAGCTATTAATGAAAATTCCTTTCTTGTGGTCTTTAATTATTCATCTCGCACCTATCTCCTATTTTTCAGCTATCAGGTACGATATATTTATGAGCAATCCTGTGGGTGTTCTACCCAAGCTTTCTCTAATCTTCACTCTGTTTTGGGTCTTAGGTCATGTGTCAGCATATCATTAGTCTACGTGGCGAGTCTACTTGTCTACCAATACAGATAGTCCCCCCACTTTCTGAATATTCTCAATTGAATA